CATCGTCCAAAAAGGAACATGATGCATCATTTTTCAAAACTTTTATATTTACTTCAAATTGTCAAGCTGTATTCTCTATTCTCGCGCCTCGTTCTTGTAGGCTTTTTTGTCGGAAAAGTAAGTCCACAATTTTGATCCCAAAAATTCCCATCATCGACCTCGCATTTTGAAGCCTCTTCTTCCGAATTTTTCAAAACAAACCATTCGATTCCTTTCTCTGTCCCGCTGAAGTATCGGAATTGGCTGGTATTGCTGCCTGAGACAACGAAAAAAACCCGCATCATTCCCAGACATCTTCAGTTGGCTATCCGCAATGACGAGGAATTGACCAAGCTGCTTTGTGGGGTGACAATTGCCCAAGGTGGTGTTCTGCCAAACATACATGCAGACCTTTTTGTCAAAAAAGACTGAGAAGCAGAAGTGAGCTTCTTCAGGATGAGCATATTCAAATCCCGCTATTGACGTTCAGTACACATTCTGATTGCCAATGTAAAAAATGTAGATGATGAAGTTAACCTTGAATAATTGGGACCAGAAAGTCCGCCGCCAAGAGAAGAAAATGAAATTAGGTGTTCCTCATTCCTATCTGTATGAAGCTCTGCTTCTTCATTCCTACATTTTATTTTTCTACATTGATTTGTTTTTTTTTTTGCCGCGAGTTTTTAGTAGAGCACTTCGAGGGATTTTCTCTGGCAGTCATTTGGGAAGCGTTCTGGACCAGCACGAAGGAGAAATGAAAGAGAATGAAAAAGAAAGAGAGAGAAGAGAGAGAGAGAGAGAGAGAGAGAGAGAGAGAGAGAGAAGCTTCGTCGATAAGTGAAGGCGTCTGGCGTGGCTGCTGCTGACCACCCCTTGCTGCGCCAAGGTCGTGCGATGGTCTGAGGCACGCACAAGCCAGGCACCATGCACACTATAGGTGATCGCGTTAAATATCCGAATCCAAGGTTCCCCCGAAAACAATGTCCCCGCAAGTTTCTGGCTTTTAATCCGCGACCCCGAATCCACCTCCTCCTCCTCCCCACTCGTGCGTTGACACGCGGTTGTTGATGCGAACTTCGAACGTCGAGTTGCTTTCCGTATCTTATCATGCGTCGCAAGCAACCGAAAGCTCCCCGACCGAAACAACATCATCATACGCTTTGTTTTTTTTTTTCCTCAAGAGAATTCGTTTGTGTTGGTGCGCTGTCGTTGAACGCCTTGGCTCGGCATTTCGCTTGTTACATTTTAGTGGCCGCCGAATGAAGTTGGAAAGATTCTGTTGCGCAACGCTCTTCACTTTGTTATTACGATCCCGAGGGCTGCAATGCCCAGAAACTATTCTTTCAATCGTCTCTTCGAGTCGACGTTGATCTTGAGATGAAGGAAGAGCGAGTGAATCGAACTGGGAAGCTTTTTTAACACGGAGCTGAATGATCGACTGACAGGTCAAGACCGGCTTACTCTAACTCATCATCCTTTAGAATACCTGCGGTTCACCGTCAGCCAGAAGTTTCTGGACACAGAGAAGATTTTCCAATTGACGCCTTCGTTTGGACGAGATACCTCAAGAAGTAAGAAAAGTTGGGACGAATTTTAGATTAATGTCGAAAGACTGTAAATTTAATGATACATGAAGTCGATGATCGTATTATGAGGTGGACCAAAAAGAGGAAAGGATGTTCTAATCTTTTTAAATTATGAACATTGTGTAAGCGGCGGTGTAAAATTGTGAACTAGTTTTATGGCAGTGCTCTTCCTAAATAGCTATGTAGGAAGAGCACTGCCATAAAACTTAATTTAAAGAGTTTTTGCCTCACGAATAAATCTACAATTTTGAAAATTAAAAGTCGAAGGAATTTTTAACAAAATCGCAGACTGAGAGTGCTCAAATTTGCGTTTGTTTTCAATCAAACTCCGATACACGTAGTTTTCTCGTACAATATAGTATTTGGGTTTGAGTATTCGATTGAGATTATAACGCATTCAGCCAGCAAATACCCATCGAGTTTCCAGAAAGATTGTGTCAGTTTTCTTCCGCAGATGATGCACACAAGTCAGCCTGACTTTGGAAGCACAACAACGTTTTTTTTAATGATGATGCGGGTTAGATCCACTTGGGCGTATGCCAACTCTAGGGACCCGCTTTTATGCCATAGTTTTCTGCTTATTTCCATCGCTCTAGTGTCTATCCGAGAATTCTTGGGCCTCAGAAATGGAACCACTGTTTATCGAGAATCCGAGCGATTTTCTCATAAGACGCAAAGAGGGGGAGAATTCGGCATCCACGTGGGAATAAATTTAATTTTTGCCTAGAGCCATCGTGTTTTGACGGTGTACATAGATAACAACGTCGGAAGCCTGACAATTTCACCAAGTTTCCCGATATATTTTTTCAACATCTGCAAAAGTCATTTTGTTTCAGCTTCAGGGACTGCCAGATCGGAAAGATTTCGATTGTGCGGTACAAATAATTATATCATTAACAATCAAAAAAAATTTTCCGGCTTTTATTAAATATTAAACGGAATCCCGGTTAGAAATTTACAATCTAATCCTGTAGCAGAATAGAATGTGTTATTGAATGCATATTCTTAATTCAGTTTTATTTGTTCGCGTACCAGAGAGAATGTTGCAATGCAATGAAGTTAGACTTCCTCTGCAACGATTTTGGTTCCAGCAATCATAATTGTTCAGTATACCCTACATTCCTGTAGTTCAGGAAGAGCTTCTATTATTTAAAAGCAGCACCTTCACTGCAATGTTATCTGTGTAATGGATTACTGCCTTTTTCTGAATGTGTGTCTGGTCATTTCTGTCTGCGTGTCACGGGTGGTTCCATCGTCTTAGCGACACTGAACTCAGCATCCCACGCGTCTTTTCGAAATTACGGCAAATAGAACATGCTGGAAGTTCCAAAGTGAGCAGAAAAAGCAGCAGTTTTGTCCCAGTAATTCTGGGAATAAAAAAAAGTCAAATAACGAACGCCTCCTATGCGTACGTGATATCTAGCATTTACGCGGTTTCATGCCCGCGTTCTTTCCTTGGTCCGAAATATTGTTCTGGCACCAATGCGAGCGTTGTGCAGTGGAAGAATGGAGGACGGAAATCGTCGAACGAGGACGGTCGCCTTGTCCTGGAGAGTTCACGCTTTCCTAAGCACGCACCGCGATCATTTTCGCGTTTTCCGCGCTTGAAGTCTCCTTCAACGCGTTTGGGGAAGGATGGGGCCGAATTCCGTCCACGAATGGCGCGATTCGGACGTTTTCGGTCGACATCGGGGTGCACACATTTCATGGAAGTTCACAAAGCGAGGACTGCAGGAGTTGGGGTTCGTTCCGTATTCGTTTCATGAGCGACGTTATGACAAGCTTGCATCACGCCGAGAAAATGCGTGTCCGAGATTTATATTGATCTGAACGATCGGGGTTCTCTGTAACTACCAGACCGGATTGCGTGTGGCGCTTTAAAACATTGATTTACAAATCTCTTGATGCTTTCTGTCCAGATGAATATGGGAGCTCGAGTGAATACAGTAACTTATTTATAAAGTCAGCGAAGGTGCTAAGTTGAGCTTAGTAACCGAGCAGAATATCGCAAAATGCCAACAACTTTTCTGGACAAAAGAAACGCAATACATTCGTATACAAGGCTGTCTGCTGTCTTAGATAGTTATACTGCTTCAGTGGTGATGGTTCAGCTTCAACCAAGTGGTACAATGAAATGCACATCCTTGCAGAGATACAGTACAGTATTTTATTTCCCTGTAACGACTAGAGGGCGATTCAACAGTTTATCTTTGGCTCAACTTCTTATCTTTTGACTTCAGCGGGTTTTCTTGCGAAGAAGTGCAGCTCCAGACCATCAAAATTTTGAACGTTGTACAGTAAGAAGATTAATGCTTACGCTCATCCTATAAGTCCAATGGCATTTCTTAGATGTGGTATAGTACAGTTTTCCGTCCATTTCGTTTATGATGATTAAAATGAAGTACTGTAGTAGTAGGGGCTTTTCATGGCTGTTTCAGGAACTAACCCGAGTCAAGGATAAGATATAAAGACCCCCGAGCGTTCTTATTTACTGAAATCTTCTTTTATGCGTTTATCGAAAATTATTCCTGGATGAGTTCTACAACCTTTGGTGTGTGGATGGACAGCGACGTTACCATGAACGCAATCTGCCCGGAAATATCAATAGCATGTTTTTTTGTGTGGTGCATTGTAAGGAGTTCTGTAAACGGAGTTCGAGAAGTCTTGATGTGTTGGGTTTGGTACTAATAAAATCAAGCTGATGTTGTTTGGAATACCTCCCCGTCCCTTCAATCTCACTGGGCTGCACTCGAAAACCTGAAGCTGGCCATGTCCAAAAAAGAGTACTGTATGACCATTTCGCAAGTGTGCTCAATAAAACTTTCGGAGCCCCGAGTGTTCCAAGCAGACGATTATTTTTAGGAACCTGAATACTGTACTGTACTGTATATCCAACATAGCAAGCGTTTTCTTGTTGTTTTTCCCTGGGCTGACGGTTGTGCACATCCGCGCAAGAATCGTTCAGTTGTGGAAGCAATCTGTTTCTCATGATCCGTAATTAATTCAGATAACCTTGTGAGAATCTTGGGAGTTTTCTAGAGATTTTAACGCCCGCACCGTGGATGAGTATTCCTCAGCCTGAAGCCACATAATTTGAGAAATCGCGGGGCATCGAGAATGATTCGAATGGGGTGTGCAAAAATGGCTCATACCGTCGGTCTCCACTGATGAGACCGCCGTCAAAGGAAAGGGGTGAGGGTTTTATTCAACTCGCAGCACTCTTCCTGTCGGCTGTAATGATCGATCAGGTTGGGCAACGCTGCAGCACACGGTTGGAGGAAAGAATGCTTGCGTTTCGAAACATGCAGTCGGGCCGCCTGCAGAGGTTCGAAGAGATATGCAACTGGATATAGTCACTTGATGCACGGTATTACCGGGAGGTAACGAGTTCACAAGGCGTTTCGTCAGGCGGCGTTGGCAACACAAGCCCCATGCATGGCGAGGAACGTTCAGCGACTGGAGATAGGAAAGAAAGAAAATGAAGACAGTGGCCTCGCCTTTGCGGGTCTCGGAACAGACCAGATGCAACGCGATGGATTACTGTGCAGAGAGTGGGGAGGTGGATTGAGGCCGACTTTCCTCATTTCCTTGAGGCTGGGAGCGAGTCGGTACAGTAGCCTCCTGCCAGCCAGCCGGACCTTCCTCGCACGCCGCGCGGGCCGCACCGCGCGAGCGGCTGTTCGCCGCGCGTCACCACATGCTACGGTGCTCGGTCCTCAGTGTGCGGACTGTCTCCCGTGCGGGTGGATGTGCTGTGCGTGTGCTCAGGGCTAGGGGACAGGAGAAAGTCGAGCGAGTGTACATGGTGTTGTATTCCTTCCCGTATGGATCGTATTAATCCAACACGCGATGTTTTATGCTCAGATGTGGACAACATCGGGAAACCGTGGTTTGTTCTGATGTCATTGTGTTGACGCCGCGATTTGGGGTTTCCTCAAGGTTCAATGCGATGGCAGTGCTGGCGCGAGGTTCGAAGTATGGGTTATCGCAATGCAAATCCAGTGATAAAACATTGTGCTACGTCAAGTTGACCGACTCTGCTTTGAAGGCCATCGAAGAGTTCTCACGCCAACGGGTAAGTGCAGCACATTCTTCATTGCTTTATTATTTGTGAAAGAATATTATTGTGCGTCCTTCAACATCAGTGGTTGATCGGGTTCTCTAAGGAACTTCTTCGTCGCTTTGAAGGAATCTGGAAAGAATCCTTCTTGGTAGATCAGTTCTTTCTTGTTCACAAGAAAAGACGAAAATTCGATACACGATTGCGAAATTTTTCTTCAGAAGAATCATTTTTGACGAATACCCGTACTAGTTCACCACGCATCAACACATTCGTTGGTTGCATCAGTAGATGTGCTAGATTTTTAATTTCCAAGCTTTCTCTGAATTGAACCACTTTCAACTCGTGGCCTTTCATTTCGTTCTGGCTGGCTACCGAATGACACGTTGATTCAGACTATAAGTCTATGTACTGTAAACTGATCCCACAGTTTGAATTTTGTTAGACTTTCTATCAACCCCAGTTTATCTGTTCAAAATTTCGCACTAAATTTCGAATCCCCTAGCCTCAACTTGAGGACAGGTTGCTTGCCACTTGAAAAGCTTTTAATACCATATATGATACAACTTCGTTTGGAAATTCCCGAACTACCCTTTTATCAATGTACAGTACTGTATAAAGGTGAATCGGAGAACATCATTTCCCAGCAGCTTGAGCTAAATCGAAGTCCCTCATTGCGTTGATGCTTTTCTTAAACATACAATGCGTTGAAATGAAGGACATACGGAATTTGAATGGGCTCATAGGCTTTTAACTTCATTCGAAAACTGTGGAGCAATTCGAGTCGTCCTGGTGAACAGGTGAAGCCATTTCGCGCTCCTCAGGCGCTGCAGCTGGCGAACAACTGGCACCCGATGTGTTCTCTTCCGCACGAGGGAAAGCGCTGTGCGAAATGGTGGTTTTCATACAAGCGCTGAACTGACGGGTCTGCGTAGCTCGCCGTTGCCTTCGAATGACCCTCGGAATTCTATGAACTCATGCCCATTCAGCACATTTTCATTACTTGCGGTTGATTTTAGATCCCATGTTACAATTACTGTAGAACTATCCACATCAGATTCCGTATACCGTTGTTTGCCTTCGTATTGAAGTTTCCAGTTCACACATGTAGAGGTTTGGACATATCACTGACTCATAATTGCTCCTTGATTCACGCGAAGAACACCTCGAGATAAGACAGAATCTGCAGAATAAACGTTTTAGAAATGTTTTGTGAGTGGCGGATTCTGAAAAGGTAAGTTCACCTGATAAATGCTGATCTTGACTGCGGAATTTCGGCTCGCGTGAAGGTGCCAAGTTTCTAACTGAATGGTTGGCACTACCTCTTGATTCGGTGTTAATGCAGTATGTGTATGATTTCTGTGCTCACAGGCTTGCTTCGGAGGCGACAAAGATGCTCAAATACAGTTCTCGAAGAACGAAGGGGTGAGTGATGCGTTTTTTCTGTTATTTCTTGAAAGTATTCCGTCGCGAGGGATCTCCTGATATTTTTGGGTATCGAACTTGGTCAAAGGCGAAATGGTGTTGCGGACGTCTCCTGAACGAGGACAGATTCGGGGGACTTCTATGAAGTTTGATTTTCTAGAACGTAAAACTTTTTTTGGGGAAACAGTCGAGTACTTCGGGTGTTTCGTACGTGGAACAGAAAGGGGAATGGTGAGTTCGGTTCAACGAACGTCGCGCACTGTGGCGAACGAATTCAAACAGCTTCGATCTTCCGGTGAACGACCATTTTTTCGGCCATAATGAGACTGAAGCTCACCGACGATTCTGTCCGCGTGGTGAGCGATGAAGGCTGTGAACGCGTTGCGTGCGCGGAATATCGAGAAGTTTTCCTCTGGGTCTATCAGTTCGTCGTGACTTTCTGGCGTCACTTCGAACTAGGAATTCACTTTGCCTTGCGAACGCGGTCCGCCCCTTTGAATGAAAATTACTCGGAGCGCTGTCCGGGTTCAACCAGCTGTTGAGAGCCGCTTTCCACGGACAGTGGCATCGGGTCGGTTCTTCATGATCTCTTTCCTTAATCCCGTAACCCGGGAGGGAGAGAGGAGGGAGTGACGTGCCCCACGTTCATGCTGCATTGGGAGAGAACAATTTTGGAGACCTTCCAGCTGAAGTAAACTTGCTCAGCTCTCCCCTCGTTCCTACTTGCGCTCTTCGACCAATTTTCCGCTGTGTGCGCACTTCAACGTACCCACTTACTCAACATTTGACCTTGTTTCGTTCCCTCCATTCATGAGTGGAGATGGAAATCAATCCGAGTGCATCATTTATTATTTTAAATCTCCGTGAGATATACCATCAAAGAACGAGGGTGTCGTTCTGAATGTAATTAATGTTGAATATATTTAACAGAGATTCTCAACCTGTTCTACGCGGAGCATGTAGGGCTCCTAACCTACTTCGCAGGGTCTCCCCGTTTTCTCCAAGGAACAAACAAAATCATGAATTACATAAAATATCTAAAGGTGCGTTCGATGGAAGGAAAACATGTTTTTTCTTGGACGCATGGTGGACGTAAACTATTCTTTACTTCCAAGTACTCCCGGAATGAAAAGGTTCAACTGTGCCATGTAGTGGAGTTCCCACTTCCATTTTCACGCCTCGTGAGTCGGCAATGAATTCAAATTCACATTACTGTACTGTACTAATAACAAAGTTATCATTAATTCAATTAGTCAATTGTGTCACTCAGATCTTTCTATTTTCGTGACTGGCTGATCTACTTGAATAAAATATGCAGTGGTTTTGAATGTGGATTGGGATTTCTACATGAATTCGTGGCGGAGCAACTGAGTGAGTTTCATCATAGGTGGGACAGGTTGGGAGGGTATTGCGACAACGCGGCGGTGTGTTCACCGAATCCATGGTCACTATACTGTAGTCTACTATCGTTTACCTGCGCTATGTGCTCGCGAAAGAGCCAGCAATGATTCAATTGCAATTTCTGCCAGTACGTCGCCTAACTGGGTTACCTTGTGAGCCGCACCGAGTGTCTCGGATAAGATTTAGGTTCCTCTTATGTTCACGTGCCCATTTCTCTCCTGTCCCGCATTTTGTGGAACGTTGCTGTTCGGCATGGCGTTCTGTCAGCGTCTCCTGTGCTGCATCGAATTCGTTAGCCTTCTAGGCATGTTCCGACGGCACTGCGACTAGCGAACGAATATCGAATCACGCCAGACCCGTTATTGTTTTTTTCTTCTTAGCTTAGCTCGCGAGAATATATTCTCGCCTGCCACCTGGCCCAACCTACCTCCAAGCCTTCGGATTGACCTTGCAAGATTCCTGCCAATTTATAGCGTTACAGTACAGACGGATGATAACTCTTGGTGGCAAAGTGGCTTCGCCTTTTCAATTAGAATGCTCGAAATGCATATGTTGACAAGCTATGCGTCAATTCCTTGGCTTGCACTTTATTCAGATCTTTTACGAGGGGCGTCTTGCTCTGTCATTGATTCTGAACCTTGTAGGCTATCGTGCCCAAGATTCCCGGTAATCTCTGCATGGCATCCTTTTCTGGTAAACCCGGATCTCACTAGTGTTCTAGGCAATATTTCGACGTTATCAGTTGTGATGATATTTTATGTCGCCGTAATCGCAGCATGGCGAAGTCTTATCTGTGCAAGATCTCAACTCTTAAATCCCTACCTTGTCAATGATCTATGACAGTATCGATAAAAACTTGAGTACAGCACGCTCACATTAGCCATTAATAATTCATTGCGTGCTTCCCTCGCCTTTTTTCAACATGTAATAGGAATAGGAGAGTCCAACCAATCAACAGTCGAAATCATTTACTGTAATATTGTTTTCTCTTCATACCATTCGGCCAGTGCCACGCACTACACCAGTTAAATAGCTCAGCCAGACTGTATTGACGGATGTATCCGTTCATCAATGGCATATCCTCTGGTTTACCGTAGGGGGAGTTCTGGACTAACCCGCGTATACAGACGAACCCTGCACCCGCTCGTAAATTTCAGCGTAGTCCATCTGAAAAAAGGGAACGCTCAGCTGATGGCTTCCTGGTTTTTTGAAGCCTGTGCCGGTCGGGTGTGGTTGAACTCCGCCTCGACTAGTCTGCCGTTACTCCCGTCAGCTGACGTCTTCACATCCGGCTGCTGTTCGCAACTGCCTCTCGCCTATGTAGTTTTCGTTTTTTTTTTTCGGGGCCCCAATGCGGGTGGAACGGTGGGGAAAGGGGGACTTTCGATGCATGTTCTTTCCCCCGGACGCTCGACTTGTTCTTTCCCCGGTGTTGTTATCGGGGTCGCGGTGCAGAGCTGTGGGGAAACCCGGCGATGGCATCCCTGGGATGCTTCGGAGCACTGGGAACTACCCGCGATTTTATTTTATTTTTCCTGCGTTCATACATCTGCCTTTGGAGGCAAGGACTGTTTTCGGAAACGTCGCTGGTACAGTAATCCATATTTAAAAGGTTTCGGCTATTACAGTATTTCCTTGACTTTTTGTCTGCATTGACCAGGAATTCGCTGATTTTTGTTCCACAATAACTCGGTCACCGGTTTTTCTCTAACGCGTTGAGCGATTTGGACTTCAGCCAGATTCCGCGCCGTGTATTATCTCGTTGACGGAATTGTGGGGTTGTCTCCTGCGACTCATCATTCCTTGTTGCCCGCTATATTAAATTTTGGAATACTCAAGATCTGAGATCCGTTAATAATGCGGGATAACTTTTCACTGCAGTATGTAAGGTGTGGCCGTTAATTGATTTATATATTCTTTGATCAGGACTGTTTCACTGCACCCAGTTGTGACATGTTAAACTTGATAGGTGCGAGTAGAGTAGGATTTAGGCTGGATTATAGCGAGAAAAAAAGCGTGCAACTTAAAATGTGACTTCTATTCTGAGCTCAAATTTTGCTCCGTCAATCCACGCCATCTCTTTTTACGATTTTAGTAGAGTATTTTAATTTTTTATTTTTAACGAATTCAAGAAGTCACCATTGATTTAGCATGATTCGGGAATGTTCATTCTCTGTTGAGAAGGTGCAAAATTGATGGTAAACGGAGCAATCTAGCCTGAATTGTATGCAATTTAATACAGTATTGATTACGATAAAGTACGGTGAGTTTCGCGATTTCTACGCAATGTGTACGTAACAATTTTGCATGTGGAGAACGATATATGTTCATGTCGTATGTTGATTATCTATAACTGTGATAGCTTTTGAGGTCTCATGGCCTTTCCCAGCTTTCGGGGTGATCCTTCTAAATCGCGCCCCCGGGTAAATGAGTACTATGACAAGTAGCACTGATTTGATCAGTTAATGGAAACGAATGAATTGAGCCGCCTTCTTCCCTGCCATTCCGATTTCAATGAATCCTATTGAATTTTTCCAGCTGGTCCGCGGTGCTTCAAACCGCAGTCGTCACCCAAACTATACCAAGTCGGAAGCGGTGAAATTTTCTCCGGCCCCCTCCTGTTCCGTACCCTTCATATAGTCACTTCCGCATACTGTGTTACCTTCTACTGAGGCGGCTCTTTTTATTAATACATTGTCAAGGTTGATCCGAGCCTCGTCTAGATTCCCCCGTGAAGTAATGCGTTCTCAGTTGGACCTAGATAATCCTTGAAAAGTCTTAGTGAGGGAGTTCGAGATTACTGAGGTTCGTTGATGTTTCCAACTGGAAGCATCAAAACGAGTGCCTTCATGTTGCGGTGTTTGGTTTCTTTTTCTGATGCACAACATGGTTCTTGTGCGACTGCTGATGGGTCTTTTTAAAACTATTTGTGGAGGTTGGTATTCAAAACTCAGATTTCGACTCTGAATTTTAGCCTTGACTGGCTAATGCATTGTTCCGGGTCGTTCTTAGTTGAAATTGGGGGACAGAGCTAAGTGTTCGCAAAGTTAATACCCGTATTAATTAGAAGTAAACATGTATAGGAGGTTGCTTAAATTAAGACCATTGTTCTTGGAATTCATTTTACTGAGGTTTATTTTTTCCGAACAAATAACTCCTCGTCACTGACGAATAATCTGATGCAGTGCCCTATGTACGCCCGTCGCTTGGCGAAAAACGCTCAAGACTGAGTACAGTACTCTGAATGGATTACAACCTAGGTTCTTGCACTTAGTTGCTGAAAGCGTCACGATTTCGTGACGTGAAGAAACTCATGGAGTGGAAACTTTAATGAGGGTACTCCAACTGTTTTAGTTGGGCGCGTTTTGTGATCGGTTATGTTTTTGGAACGAACTCTTGACCGTACCATTTGTTATGCACAAATCAAGGGGGCCATTGATTGCGTCAAAATTGGGCTATCACGCTTGGTCGGTTTCTTCCCTCAGTGATCATCGTTCAAGATTCCTTGCACGCTTATCGTGCATTGTTCTATACTTCTTTGTTTGAATATTGTATCCATGAAATGCCAACTCTATCGAATGAGGGGTTCATTACAGGTGGAAACGCGTTTTTATATTCAATCGATGAACGGAAAATGAAATGCTGTTGGTGTCTCAAAGGTACTTTATATACTCTTCCCTCCTGTAAATGTTTGCTTGACAAAGGAAAACCTCAC